AAATTTGTTCCTCCTGGTAGTAATAAATTGGCTCTTCCAGAACCTTCAATTAATCTTGTACTACCGGATATTGTATTAACATTCGCTTCTTTCATTACCAAATAAGAGAAATATCTCTTATCTTTTAAAATAGTGTGTGTTGTAGCACTATCCAGAAGACATATATCATCTTTATTAATCTTGAGTCCAACTGAAGACTGGGGAATTTTCATATTCTTCATAAAAAATAAAATAATACATCATAAGAAATATGAAAGACAAACGGAAAAAAACATTAAGAAATACATTAGGAATGTAGAAACTAGCAACATATGATGCATTAGGAAAATACAATCAAGAAAAATAAACTAGTTGCAAACATAAAAATAACAACTTTTATAGCTTCATTCCCCAGTAAGATGATTAGTTCTTCAGTCAATATCCTCAAAGAAGTCTCCAACTTCTAAATGAGTAATATTTGTTAGGCCTTCAAAATCATCATCTTTATATGCAAGATGTGCCTTAGAATCATATTTATTTGAGGGACGTGCTTCATCCTCATTATTTTGAAAGGTCAAGTGTGCCTTCACATTATTTTCTTTTTTCTTGAGGGAGGCTTGATAAAGTTTGACAAAATATTCTGGCGTACGACAAATGCGTGTCCAATGACCTCTCATACCACATCGGTGACACATACTAGCTTTACCTTTTGAATGATTAATTGGAGAACACTTATTGTTCTCCAATTTATTTCCACCATAATGACGATAATTGTTTCGCCCCCTGCCACGTCCACGTTTACGACCATGTCCACGACCACGGTAATTATTTTATTTTCTTTCAAACTTATCATATGTTGCTACAGCATTCACTTTCGGAAATGGAGCTGGCCTAGTGGGACGAGCTTCATGATTTTTCATTAATAGAGTATCATTCTGCTCAGCCACAAGTAGGCATGTGATTAACTCAGAATATTTCTTAAAACTTTTTTAGCACCACATTTGAAGCGTGAAAAGTAGAAAATATTTTTTCCAATAAGTCCTCATCTGTAATAGTGTCTCCACACAATTTTAATAGAGAACTTACTTTAAAGATAACAGAATTATACTCACTTACGGTTTTAAAGTGTTGCAACCTTAAATGTATCCACTCATACTGAACTTTCGGTAATACCGTAAGTTTTAGGTGGTCATATCGATCCTTCAAATTAATCTATAATTCAAGTGGATCTTTTATGGTTAAATATTCAGTTTTTAACCCTTCATGTAGATGATGACGAAGGAAAATCATGGCCTTCGCTTTATCCTGATTTGATGCTTCATTTCCTTGTATAATAGTATTTCCAAGACCTTTAGCGTCAAGGTGAATTTCAGCATCAAGAACCCATGATAAATAGTTCCTTCCGGTGATGTCAAGTGCCACAAATTCAAGTTTTGATAAATTTGACATAGTGAAAACTATCATAAAAGATGAATAAGTTAGAGAAATAATTATAATAATAAACAATTAATGAAAACAAAACGATTAAGGTAAAAGAAATGAAAATAGAGCTATATCATGTTAACAATCTACTATTTCATTTTATTCTTGCCATAAAGTAGAAATTACATACTTGTTTCATTTCACTTTATATTATTGATATATATGTGTTAATAGAATTGAACGTGACTGACATTATTTATATGTTCCAATAAATATAAAGTAATTAAAAAAATTATTGCTTGTCAGTTCATTTCTCACAGTTCTTCAAAATGCCTTAAAGATATGTTTTGATCCAGCGAGTCCATGACATTAGTGCATAGCTAGTTTGATGACTTTGAGGTCCTCTAAAAATTGAGCACGGAAGGAAATAGTTATTTAATCACTGCAATGTACTTAAACTATTTAAGATGCCCAAGCGCACAAGTAATCTGCAAACAGTGAGCATATGATATGTACTGTCATAAATAAGATGATTATAATGATACATACCTTAATAAAATATGGCTCAACTTAGCGGGAGTTAAGAATAAAATTAGAGCTTCGTGCTGATAACGTGTTATAAAATAAAAGTAAGGCAGTAAAATGTAAATAAGAAGAGATAGAGAGAAGGGAGAGGTGTTTTCTTCTTTCACTTTGGTGTATTTTTCCATTGCAATTACATGACCTTTTATAGGCATAAAAAGTAAAGATAATGGACATAAAGTAGGAAATTTAATCTTTAAGTTATTCACAACATGGACATCCAATGTAGTATCCAAAGTAGTATCCAATGTACAAACTATTCATAACAACTAGTAATTTTTTGGAGCAATTATATGTCTGCTGCTTTATTAAAAGAACTGATTTTGGTAGGATAAAGAATATTGGCGGGCCCAACTAGAAGTTTATATGTATTATTCAGATGTTTACTATAGGATTCACTATTTACATTAACGTGCTAAAAAGATGTAGCATGTGTTAGTTATGAATTTATTAGTGAGTGTGACCCGCTAGGACGGGTTCAATTATTCCACTTTGTTAATCATACCACTCACCCACCTTTGCTCACCTAACTTTAGGTCTTCCAGACTTGGGTAAGAAAGAGATGGAAGTAAGTATATTGGTGGAGTATTAAAACAGGGACATGTTATTTAATAAACTGGACTAGTTGCCTCCCGGAATTTGTGACAGCACTTTATCTACATTTTGTACTCATATACTACAAAAGAGGGAGGGAGGTAGGTACCTTTGAAAAGAGAAGCCAACGAGTTAACTTATTGGCTTCTCCTTCTGAATTCTGATGCACATGGCGAGGCTAGAGTTACTTAACTTGTACCTGTGGGAAATAACATACTAGTATATATCTAGTGAAATAAATAAGCTGATTGGAACAACAACATATTAAAATAGTCAAAAGGATAGCTGGTGTCAACTCCATATTTGATATAGGAACAGGGAATTTAGAGAGAAGAATTATACAGCAATAATGGCTACAGCTTCTTCTGTTTCATCTCCTTCAATGGAACGGATCATGTCACTTCCTCATTCCTCCATGAGCTTGCGTCATTCCAATCTCCCTTCTCTGCTTCATCCTTGGTCGTTTTCATCGTCTTTTAGGCCGCCATCAGGTATAATTTCTCTTAACACCTCTGTCTTCTTTCTTCTACGATTCCCAGATTGAGGTTTTGGTGTATATATTGTACTGTTTTATGGAGTATAAAGCCGCTAATGTTAGCTAAAACATTTAATTGAGTCATTTTTGATTGATTGAGATAAAATATTCAGCTTAACTATGTCAACCTTCTACGAACCAAGAAAGGCTACAAGTAGCGGATGAAATGATTTAGTATAATAAGATGTGAGTTTTTCGGTTTAGATCGTAATGGAATTTCGGAAAACTGACTTCTTTCTTAATACAGAGTTCGTATCATTTTCCTAAAGCTTAAAGATAATATGGGTCTCAACTCAATCAGCCTATAAAGTGCCCAAAAGAGGAAAATGCTCTACGAGATGTCTATAATCAATGATGGAGAGATATCTCCCTAGTGATATTGTGCTATTAGAAACTGTCAGAATCGAACTTTCAAGGGAAAATAGTAGAATTCCATTTTTATCTAAGCTTTCAAACTTCTTTTTTTTTCTTTTTAAATATCTAAGTATGAATAAACGAGTTGTCCATTACAACAATAACATACCCAGTATTATCTCACACCGTAGGGTCTGGAGAGAGTTGCCCATTATTAAGGAAATAAAAACATTGATCAATTGGCCTACAAATTTAACACAAATTGCAAAGTTAGTACTTTAGCAAGACCTCCGTTTATGTTCAAAGTGGAGAAGTCTTTTTACAGCTCCAAATAGGGAAGACAAAAATTTTGTTTTCTGAAATTTTCATTCTAGGAGATTACTGGAACTTGTCTTTTATCAAGCCAGAGTTCTTTGGTCTAAGCTGTTAAAGTTTTCAGGCTTTCGACGTCACATAGATTCCAAGAGATTTCCTATCTTCAAGATCAGGGCTTCTGAAGAAGAAGAAGAAGAAAAAAATTCTGAATCTTTTACTCGCATCAGAAAAGTATTTTCCAGCGTAAAAGACAAGGTAAGGCTCTCTTATTTTCTGAGCACTTCATAGTTCGTTCACTATGCCTCAAAACTGGCTCATCTTCTTCGTTTGCTGTAATCCAACTATGTATAGTGGGATGGACTCGAAAAGAAACCAACAATCTTCCTTTATGGAGGTTCTGCAATCCTTGGTCTTTGGTTGTCTTCAATCGTCATCGATGCATTAGACTCCATTCCATTGGTAGGTGATCCAATTGTACTAGTCTTTTCCTGTGTTGTAGCAAACTATAGGGTGCCAATACTATTAATAGTAATACATTGTGACTAGCCTTAGTTAGCCTAGTGTTTTTGTGGTTATCCTAATTTCTGCTCTCTGCTTTCTTGTGATTCTTGAACTTAAGTGAATATCTCTCACAGTTTAACATTTTTAAACCAGTTACCCAAGTTTTTGGAGTTGGTCGGCCTTGGATACTTTGGATGGTTTGTCTACACATATCTTCTCTTTAAGGTATGGTCTTAGCATGAAAGAAATGCAGATTATCTTGGAATTAATATCTATTCTACACTTGGTATAGACATAGGCTAGAATAAGAATAGCATGCACTGGAAGAGTTTTCTACTAAGAATTTTCAGGTCAATCTTGTATTCTAAACCATACAGCTTCACATGACTCCAGTCTTACTTCAAATGAGTTAATGTTTCATTCATTTCTTTCCTACTCAGTTACATATCGGCCAATTTTGCAAATTTCCTGTGTCACCTAAGGCAAATTAAAGGTTAAAGTGACAAAAGCTGCTGATTTTGCCAATTCTAGGGGGTGGGGGTTATCATTAAGTTTTGATATGTTTTAGTTACATTAGTTATTAAATTCACCTCCAGATAACAGAGATAACATGCCAACTAACCTAGGAAATCATGTTTCGATTTTAGTTTGGCAAGCCACAAATCTACATCTGTACTGCAAGAGTGCAATCACATGCTGAATACAGTATCTTATTACTAGTAAACGTTTCTTGTCAGTGTATATAAACACACTTCAGGGTAGATAGTGCATATACTAACACTAAAATTGAATTTTTTTTCTCAGTCTGGAAGGGATGAACTGGGAAGTGATTTTCAAACTCTTAAGAAAAAGATTACTGGGGAGGAATAGCACGTCAGTTTCCGCACTGCTGGTCAGAGAACATCTGAACAAATAAGCTTCAGCTACGAAGCTTTCCTCTCTATTCTACAATTAGTCATGTATACTCTTGTACATCACAAACTTGTCAACTACCCCATGCAAAACACCTCTTCCCCNCATTAAGGATCGTGATGGTGCCCAACACCATTGCCGGGCAAGCCAATGCGGAAAATACTAAATAAACTTTCATTTACTTTTACCCAAAAATAGTTGTCATGATTCTTTAAGTTGAGATAAAATCAGAAATGATCAGTAAAGTCAAAATAATCATACATTCCCAAAAATAATACAGTCTACTAATGTGTGTGCCAAAACCTGGTGTCACAAGCTGTGGGCAACTAGTAGAATATACAAAAGAATCACACTATCCTACTGCCCGAAACAGAATAGACAGCAAAATACATAAGAGAGACTCCTTCAGGCTGCTGAACGGCGCGGAAAGGGAAGCAACTCACCGTAGAAGTCTCGAACTCCGCTCAGGGATGCGCACCAGACTGATAGCCAGATACACGCCTCAGATCCTGTAAAATTAAGTACAGAAGTGTAGTATGAGTACATAAACAATATGTACCCAGTAAGTATCCCGTCTAATCTCGAAGAAGTAGAGACGAGAGGTCGACTTGATACCTACTAGGGTCAAATAATATGAGAAAGAATTTATAGTAAGCAAGGATAGCACAATTTATTAGCATTATGTGACAAGAAATAACAGTTCTTTTTCCAAATAATATCATGGGTATCCATTTACGTTTCAAGGCATATATGAAGTTCTGTCCACAAAGAAAATACTAAGTAAAGCATGCGCAAGTAACACCGATCCAACATAAAAGTAAATTGTGCACTGCCGAGGGTCGAACGGCTCGAACCATAGATGCATCTATTACCCCGCTCGCGAATCACACGTGTGACGCAGTCAAATATAAATAAACTCATCAACAAGCAGACGATAATGTATATCTGGGGAGTAGTTATTCACAGGAATATTCAAGTTCTCCTTTAAAAGACCAAGCAAGATAAGATTCCTCTACTAGTCTCATTTACCTTAATCAACACAATTTATACGAATTTGAATTTATCATCAAGTTACAAGAATATCACATAGAGCATGCTTTTGGGCCCTAGACTACCCGGACTTAACATAATAGTAGCTACGCACGGACTCTCGTCACCTAGTGCGTACGTAGCCCCCCGCATATAATAGCAATTAATTCAATTATTATACATATGGGGACAATTCCCTCTTACAAGGTTAGAAAGGAGACTTACCTCGCTCCACAGTGCACTTCCAATATGAGGAACGAGTCCAAGCCCTCAATTTGGAACCGAACGATCCCAAACTAGTTAAATGAGGTAGGAACTAGTCAATATAAACTCACAAGATCGAATTCTAACTATTTAAGGAATTTCCCAACCTTTAAAACAAGTTTCCTAAAATCCGACCCCGGCCCCACGTGTCCGGATTCCGAAATCTTTCAAGGGAAGTTGTTCTCTATAACCTAAGGATCGATAATATATGATTTCTAATTCATTCCATAACAAATTTCGTGGTTAAATCTAACTTTTATTAAAAACCCTAGGTTTTGCTCTAACCCCTTGATTTACCTTAATTCTAGTGTTTAATCTACCTAAAACACAAGTATTAAACTAAGAATTAGTGGGATAGACTTACCTCAAGATGTTAGGTGGAAGTCTCTTCTCAAAAGCTCCCAAAATCGCCGATGGAGGAGTGAAAAGTGGTAAAAATTGACTTAGAACCGTATTAAATGAAGCTCACTGCTTCAGCGATTTACGCATCTGTGATCAGGGGACCGCATCTGCGAGAAAGGGCCGCATCTGCGAAAAGGGGCCTAAAGGGCTGGGACCACTTCTGTGGTCTTGAGGCCGCTTCTGCGGTTTGGCTTGGCCTTCCCTGGGTCGCATCTACGATAGATGGACCGCATCTGCGGTCTCGCACCTGCGATCCACCAACCGCAGGTACGGTTATGACAGAAGCAGCAACTTCAGCACTTCTCAAACATTTCAACTTCACTCGAGCCTCGTCCAATTGACGCTTGGGGCTCCCGGGCCCCGCCCGAACATACCGACAAGTCTGAAATGGCGAAACGGACCTACTCGAACCTTCGGAACGCCCGAAACAACGCTAAATCTAGGAATCACCCCCTAAAACCAAATAAATCAAACTTATGAACTTCAAGTTCTTAATTTTCCTCTAATGGCCAAAACGCCCTTAAACTACTCGGATTGACACCAAATTTTGCGGGCAAGTCTTAAATGTTATTTCGGACCTATACCAGGCCTCAGAACCAATATACGAGCCCGATACCCATGTGATCAATCATTAATTAGTTTCTTTAAATCCTTAAAACTTTAAATTAATAATTTCTAATAAAAATTCATTACTCGGGTTAGGGACCTCGAAATTCGATTCTGGGCATATGCCCAGGTCCCATATTTTCCTACGGACCCTCTGGGACCGTCAAATTACGAATCCGGGTCTATTTGCTCAAAATGTTGACCAAAGTCAAACTTAGCACTTTTTAAGAAAATCCTAAGGAATCAAATGGGCATATTTCACTCCAAACTCTTCCAAATCCCGAACCAACCGTCCCCGCAAGTCGTAAATTAGCTAAAGCAAGCGTGGGAAGTTTTATTTAAGAAATGGGGTTCTAAAAGGCAAAACGACCAGTCGGGTCGTTACATTCTCCACCTCTTAAACAAACGTTCGTCCTCGAACGGACATAAAAAAGTACCTGAGCTGTCGAATAAATGTGGATATCTGCTCCGCATGTCCTCGTCGGACTCCCAAGTCGCCTCCTTGACTAGTTGGCCCTTCCACTGGACCCTTACTGCAGAAATCCTCTTGGACCTCAACTGGCAATCCTGTTTATCAATAATGGCAACTGGCTCCTCCTCATAACCCAAACTCTCATCTAGCTGAATAGTACTGAAGTCTAACACATGGGACAGATCGGCATGATACTTCTGAAGCATTAATACATGAAAAACCGGATGAACTCCCGATAAGCTGAGGGTAAAGCCAGCTCGTAAGCCACCTCCCCAACTCGCCTCAACACCTCAAATGGGCTAATAAACCTTGGGCTCAGCTTGCCCTTCTTCCCGAATCTCATAGCACCCTTCATTAGCGAGACTTTCAAGAGGACCTTCTCGCCAACCATAAATGATACATGACGCACCTTCTGATCTGTGTAACTCTTCTGTCTGGACTGAGTTGTGCGAAACCTCTCCTGGATCAACTTTACCTTATCTAAGGCATCTTATACCAAATCTGTACCATATAACTTAGCCTCACCAGGCTCAAACCACCCGATAGGAGAACGACAACGGCGACCATATAAAGCATCGTATGGAGCCATCTCTATGCTAGACTGATAGTTGTTGTTGTATGCAAACTCCGCCAAGGGCAAGAACTGATCCCATTGCCATCTAAAGTCAATCACACATGCTCTGAGCATGTCTTCCAAAATCTAAATTGTCCGCTCCGACTGCCCGTCGGTCTGTGGATGAAATGTCGTGCTAAGCTCCATGCGGGTCCCCAACTCACCCTGAACAGCTCTCCAAAAATGCAAAGTGAACTGAGGGCCTCTATCTGATATGATGGAAATAGGCATACCATGCAATCGGACTATCTCCCGAATGTAGATCCGAGCATACCTCTCTGTTGTATAAGTAGTTTCCACTGGAATAAAGTGGGCTGACTTGGTCAACCTGTCAACAGTGACCCATACTGAATCAAAACTTCCGCAAAGTCCACGACAACCCAACTACGAAATCCATGGTGATGCGCTCCCACTTCCACTCCAGTATCGGCATCTGCTGAGGTAGGCCACCCGGCCTCGCAACAACCCAACTACGAAATCTATGGTGATGCGTTCCCACTTCCACTCCAGTATCGGCATCTGCTAAAGTAGGCCACCCGACCTCTGGTGTTCATACTTGACCTGCTGGCTATTCAAACACTTAACCACATACTCTACTATGTCTTTCTTCATCCTCCGCCACCAATAATGCTGCCTCAAGTCGCAATACATCTTCGTAGCTCCCGGGTGAATGGAATACCGTGAACTATGTGCCTCCTCTCCTTCAGACCATCAATATTAAGAACACATAGACAACCCTGCAGTCGCAAAACACCATCCTCGCCAATAGAAACCTCCTTGGCACCTCCCTGAAGCACCATCTCTCTGAGAACCGCAAATGTGGATCATCGAACTGCCAGGCCTTGATCTTCCCCAATAATGAAGACTGAGCAACCACACACGCAAGAACTCGGCTGGGCTCTGAAATATCCAACCTCACAAGTTTGTTAGCCAAGGACTGAATGTCCAAAGCTAGTGGCCTCTCCTCCGCTAGAATGAATGCCAAGCTACCCATACTCTCTGCCTTCCTGCTTAAGGCATCCACGACCACATTAGACTTGCCCGGATGATTAAAAAATGGTGATATCATAATCCTTCAGTAACTCAAGCCACTTGCGCTACCTCAAATTAAGATCCCTCTATTTGAACAAATGCTATAAGCTGCGATGATCCGTATAAACCTCACATAACACCCCATACAGATAATGCCTCCATATCTTTAGAGCATGAACAATCACGGCCAATTCTAAACCGTGCAGAGGATAATTCTTCTCATGAACCTTCAATTGGCGCGAAGCATAGGCAATAACTCGCCCCTCCTGCATCAATACTCATCCCAATCCAACGCGCGAAGCGTCGCAATATACCATATACATCCCCGAACCGGAAGGTAACACAAGAACTGGTACTGTAATCAAGGTTGTCTTGAGCTTCTGAAAGCTCGCCTCATAATCATCGGACCAATGGAAAGGAGCACCCTTCTGGGTCAATCTAGTCAGAGGTGATATAATAGATGAAAAGCCCTGCACGAATCGTTTGTAATAACCTTCTAACCCCAAGAAACTCCTAATCTCGGTCACCGAAGTAGGACGTGGCCAACTCTGAACTGCCTCAATCTTCTTGGGGTCCACCTTAATACCCTCTCCTAATACAATATGCCCCAAGAATGCCACTGACTCTAGCCAAAACTCGCACTTGGAGAACTTAGCATATAGTTTCTGCTCTCGCAAGGTCTG